GCCTGCGTGTCCTCCTACTAGACTGTCCTTAGACATGTTACCACCTTCCTGGCTCTCTCCAGAGCTCTTAGAGAGCATTCTGGTCTTCCTTATGACCACCTTTTATGAAACATTTCTCTCTTTAGTACTCTTACATGAAGGAACAATAGTCACATGGTCTCTCTGTACACCCTTATCTCCCACCACCACATCACCCTAAAACTGACCTCTTCTCTGGCACTTACCTTGGCTCACTCAAACTGTTGACCATCCCATGGAGAATCTCCATACCTATCCTTCCTGATCTTCCCAGCCCTTCTTTCCTGGGCCTATCCGTTGCAGATCACCAGCTGGGAAAACTCTCCCACCCTGCTTTGGCAGTTACTCTGTTGATGTCAAAGCTCTGTGGTGTAACAGGAGGTTCCAGCTCCTCCTGTCTATGCTTCTGTCTGAATGCACCACTACATCTCAGCTGTGTCACCAGGGCCAAGCTCTCACTGGCCATGGGGAAGCCTGCTACCTAGTGACCAAAACCATGCTTAAGAAAAGGCTTTGCTTCAGAGCAAAGACATGCTGGCTAGATGGCAGACGGCAATGAACAGCTGAAACAAGGTGTGCACAAAGACAGCAAACCCTGCTGTCCGCCTGGCCAGAGAGAAATAAGGTTGTATTCTCTGATGTCTTTGCAGGCCCAGATGGAGGTGAAAATGATCTTCCAGGAAGGACAAGGTGCTGCTGAGAATGTCCTTGGGAATGGACATTCTTTGACCCAAGAACATTGTGACAATCATTGGCCTGTTCCTTGATTGTATCATCCAGGGGATGACAAAAGCACGTGGGAGAGGCACTGCCTTCATCTACTACATGGGGGCCTGCCTCACAGCAGTGGTGGAAATCAGTTACTTGCTCATATGCACCAAATCTGTTTGAGATGACCTCAGATACCTGTTGTGTACCAGCTCTGAATAGGAATAACTCTCCATGGGTCCTGTGCTGCCCTCGTCAGCTGTGTGCTCCAGTTGCGGTGCATGGTTTTGGCATCTGAATTAGCATGACAAGCCTGTATTTGGCTAATAAATTCAGCAGCTGGACTGTATTAGGTGAAACATTGCAGGGGTGTCCATGAGACTATTGCCATTATAGTCACTGGACATCTAGTAAATACAGCGAATGGAGAAGAGAAAAAGGGAGACTGAACACTCTCTCTCTGGCACATTAGAATGGAGAAGAGAAAAAGGGAGACTCAACACTGGTACGTAACTCAGTTTGGTCAGATGAATACCTCTGTCAGCTGCCCTGAACATAAGGACACAGCTGAAAATAAGTGTCTCTCCACAGCTGAGTGGGGGTACAACAGTGATTACTTCAGTCTCTTTCACAGCACATTCCCTGGAGTCCCAGGGACACCTCAAGGGAGCCCAGAAGAAGAAAAGAAGGTGATGCCTTGGGCTGATGTTTTTCTGCTGAGCTGGGATGGGCTCCTGGGTTGGAGAGAGCTCAAGGCAACTTGGCAGTGCTGCAGGAAGACAGTTCTGCCTTAGAGCATCTCCTCTGCACAGGGCAGCAGGTCTGAGGTAACTGAATGGATGTTGCTAAGGGAATCTGAGCAGGGCAGAGGGAGGTTAAGGCAGTCTGGGGTGGAAGGGCAGAGGGGAAATCACCGGGAGAGAAATCTTCTCGGCCCTTCATATGGTAAGTCTCTGGCAGCAGGGCAAGGCACTAACCCAGAGGGGTGTCCTAGAGGTGGCACATCCCCAGGCAGATACAATCTGGCAGGATGGGTCTCAGGGTTTCCTGAGTGTGGAGGAGGACACGCTCCAGGGCAGGGTTTCCCTTCAACACTGTCAGAGGGACAGGGCACAAGGGGTCCCTTCTCCCAGCGATGGCTGCAGGGGTGCCCAGGCCTACCCTTCAGAGCAGTGTCCCTGCACCCCAGGGGCTGGAGTCAGGAGTCAGCCTGCCCAGGGAGCTCCCCAAGCAGCTGGGGACAGAATCTGTGGGTAGAAGGAAGTGTCCGGCTTTCAGGGGTGTTGCATAGAATCAGGGCTGCTCACAGCTCCAGATTACCCTAGGACGTTTCTGAGGCAGCTTTTCAAGAAGCAGGTCAAGGTAGGGGCTACTGGAAAGAAGATTTCCTGATCTTCACCTGGTTGTCTGAGTTTTTAGATGGAGCTTGAAATTCTTACTTCCACTCTAGAGCAGGCTTTGAAACACCCCATTTCTTACACTGAGACATAAGTCTGGGATAAAAAGCAGCATATCCCAAAGCAGCCTAATCTGGCTCCCCCAAGCCACAACTTGCTTTTTACAGACACATCAGGATTTCTGTGACCTGTTTCTTAGCTCCTACAGGCACAGGGATGCCCCTGGACAATGTCCTGCCCCTGGTTTCTGCAGGGCAGAGCTGAGTGCAGGATGAGTGGGATGGGAAAAGACAGAGAAACCACTACAACCAGCTCCAGGCAGAGGAGACAGTGGTGGCTGGACATTTTCCAGCATGGATACTTGATTGGATGATATCAGCCCTGCATGCCCTTGTCCAGTGAGCATTGGGACCTCAGTCAGGCACGGACACAACAGATCAGAGTGCTTGGTCTGATCGTCTGGGTGAAGAGCCACAACTTCTGTGTCACTACCTGCACTGCTAGGCTGAGAATGACTGAGAGGGGTTTGGAGAGCTGCCTTTTGGATCTGGAAACCCCTGCTCACCCCAGTTCTTTTTGTAGACTAACTTCTGAGTGTGATCATCCTCCAGCTGAGAGAGGCAGAACGAGGCAGCTGGGAACAAGACCAGTGGAGAGAACAGCTCTCCCGTCTCTGCACTAAAACACAGGGAACCCATTTGCCTCTCATAGCTCATTGGTTTTCAGGCTGAGAGCAACCCAGAGGATAAGGATTTCTACCCCTTCCACCAACGCTCCCCCAGTGTGACAAGGACATCTGAAAACAAAGGGAGTGTATCACTAAATCGCTGTGCCCATCTTCTGGAGCATGGGATGGGAAGAGGCTGAGCAGCCTTCCTCCATGATGGGTGCACCTTTCCTGAGGGAGGATGTGCGCATAGTGACAGTCCACACTTGCTGCTCTCCTGTGATCCCTCCTGCAGAGCGTTAATTGATGGGCAGGCAGAGTATGTCTCTGTGGTGGCTGAATCAGACCCGGACACCTCTGCTTAGAAGGGTAAAACCAGAGAAGAGAAAGCCCTCCCAGAGCACTTTTCCAGAGGCAAGTGGTCAGAGTGTTAATTTAATCTTTCCCTGCAGGACACGAAGACTATTCCCACAAGGTCTCTGCATCCAGGCTCCTGCACTCAGCCCAGGGTGTCCATCCTCAGTGAACTCTCTGATATTTCAGGCCTTTTGCCACTTCAGTGTACAAACTGCCATAGAGCAGGTCTTACTGACAGGGAGCCCATCAGTTGAGGACCCTGCTCCTCATGCAACACTCAGCCAGAGCAAACCAGAACTTAGGGGAGGAAGAAACATGAAGGGAGTCTTGAGAGGAAGAGAGATGACATGGGATGTTTCTGTAAGAAACAGAAGAGGTTTTTCTCAGAGAAGTGTGCCCTAAATTGTCAATGTCTTTTTTTTCTTGGATAGCACCTGAGTTCTGCAGGGACCAAATGTCCAACAGCAGCTCCATCACGCAGTTCATCCTCCTGGCATTTGCAGACACACGACAGCTGCAGCTCTTGCACTTCTGGCTTTTCCTGTGCATCTACATAGCCGCATTCCTGGGCAATGGACTCATTATCACAGCCATAGCCTGTGAAGACCATCTCCATACCCCCATGTACTACTTCCTCCTCAACCTCTCCCTTCTGGACTTGGGATCCATCTCCACCATTTTACCCAAATCCATGGCCAATTCCCTCTGGAAAACAAGAGCCATCTCTTCCACCATTTTACCCAAATCCATGGCAAATTCCCTCTGGAAAACAAAAGCCATCTCCTACTCAGGGTGCATTGCCCAGGTCTTTTGTTTTCTCTTCTTGATCGTAGGAGAGTATTGCCTTCTCACTGTCATGGCCTATGATCGCTATGTGGCCATCTGCAAGCCCTTGCACTACGGGAACCTCCTGGGCAGCAGCACTTCTGCCAAAATGGCAGCAGCTGCCTGGGGCAGTGGGTTTCTCAATGCTGTGCTTCACACTGCCAATACATTTTCAATACCTCTCTGCCAAGGCAATACTGTGGACCAGTTCTTTTGTGAAGTCCCTCAGCTTCTCAAGCTCTCCTGCTCAGACTACTACCTCAGGGAAGTTGGACTTCTTGTGGTTAGCCTTTCTGTAGCTTTAGGGTGTTTTGTTTTCATTGTGCTGTCCTATGTGCAGATCTTCAGGGCGGTGCTGAGGATGCCCTCTGAGCAGGGACGACACAAAGCCTTTTCCACGTGTCTCCCTCACCTGGCTGTGGTCTCCCTGTTTTCTAGCACTGCCATGTTCACCTACCTGAAGCCCCCTTCGATCTCCTCCCCATCCATGGATCTGCTGGCAGCAGTCCTGTACTCAGTGGTACCTCCAGCACTGAACCCCCTCATCTATAGCATGAGGAACCAGGAGCTCAAATATGCACTGAAGAAGCTGATCCAGTCAGTTGTCTTTCAGCAGCAATAAGCTGCCCATTTATCTTCTGAAAGTATTTCCAACTTATCTTGTGAACTTTCTGTGCTTTTCACATTTTATCTGTAATAAAACTGGTTTTCCAGGAATGTCTGTATTTACTGCACTTCCCCAGAAGCACGAACCAAGTCGGCTTGACACAGAGGCCCTTGTACATGTGTCTGGCACGATGGTACAGCTGGCTTCCCATGTCACAACTCGGTAATAAAAGGTGATTTCCTCAGTGCTGGTGTTTGGAGGTTGGGCTCTTCCTCCAAAGCCAAGTTCAAAAAATGCTGAAGAATCTGTCCCCCACAGTGCTGCTGTACTTGGGTCTCCATGGGCTCAGGAGAGAAGGGCAGGGGGGTGATGTGTTAGGGGAGGAGGCTGGGGAAAGGGCAGGGGAGGTGGGGAAAGTTATGTAGGGGCTTAGGAGAGGAAAACACCAGAAGTAGATGAGTTGTCTGACCATGCAGAGTGAGGACATAAAACAGTGGCTTCAGTTTAAACCTGTTACCCCTTGTCCTGTCACTACAGGCCCTTGTAAAAAGTCCCTCCCAGCTTCCTTGTAGCCCCTTCAGGCACTGGAAGGTGCTATAAGGTCTCCCCGGAGCCTTCTCTTCTCCAGGCTGAACAAGCCCAACTCTCTCAGCCTGTCCCCATGGCAGAGGGGCTCCAGCCCTTGGAGCATATTTGCGGACTCGCTCCAACCAGTCAACATCCTCCTTATGTTGAGGATGTCTAAGTTCAGACAACTGAGGTCTGCTTAGAAAAGCAAACAACTTTTTTCAACATTTATAAGAATTTAAATACATTTTCATCAGCTGAAACAATTGAGTACTTTTAATAAAATGGCAATATTTTTCCAACATGCCAGAATGGGAATTTCCAGGAATTTCTTCTCATAAATATTGATCTCCCTCCCCACCTGCACTACGAGTACTCTGCTTTAACACTACATATTTAACCTATGTTACCTTTCAGTTAATCATCTGTCCTGATTAAAGGCCTGTGTTTAAGAGGGCATCTTTTCAGCAGACCCTCTGGCCATGTGTCCTTCCCATTGCGCTCCATATTTCCTCTTCTCCTTCCTTTTTGTTCATTTAGACATCTCCCAACTAGTTGCTGCTTTGAGCTTCACATAGTTAGAAGCTTGCCCTATCTCTCAGACCCTAATTTATTCTTTAATCTACTCTATTGTGTTTATATCTAGCCTTTTCTATCTCCCTGCCTAAAAAAGTTCTTGTGCAACTCTTCCTTGTGGAAGGTGGACATCATTAGATGCAGCCTGGAATTAGCATACAGTTAAGGAGTGCTTGACTGTTCATTAAATTGTATTGTGTGTAACTTCTGTTTGTTGACAAGGAAGATAAATCCTTCTGTGACTGTGTGCAGGCTGTTCTCTGAGCAAAGCATTTGGGAGTTGGTGCAAAGGAGCGGTGACATCGCACTGAAGCTGCGGACTTCGGTGGAGAAGTCTGATGGAAGGAAAAGTGATGCAAGTCCCAGGGGGCAGATGACAGAAATGACAGGGTTGGGAAGATGAGGAGGAAGTTTGTTGATATAGTGCCTGGCCTCAGGCATTTCCTGCCCACCCAGACCTCCTTAGGAGACCATCAGTGGAAGCATGCTGCTATAACTTCTCTGAAGTAAAAATCATAAAAATCCTAAAAACCAAAACCAGTTTCTTATTAAATGGTCATTGAAATCTTCATAATTCACTATTGGCTTAAAATCTCTCCAACTGAAGACTTGCAGAAAATTATGGAATTGTAATGAGCCCCATAATGTGTTTGGTCCTAAATCCATGAATCTCAGACACTAAGAGGAGATTGAACCAAGAGTTCAAGAAGGCAAAGTGAGAAGGAAACAATAAAGTTTCTTTGAGTAGTAATTGGCCCCACTGAGGCCCATTACTGACAACGACTCCATGGACTTGTTAGTGCAGAAAATCAGAGAGACTGATGAGGGACAGGTAGAGGCACTGTACAGGTGTCTCTGATGCTGAGTAAAGCCTTGATGTATTCATCAAGCCAAACACCAAGCCCTGACCACCACTCCCCTTGGGAAAGGGAGATCTTGTCTCTCCCTCATGGCTCAGGGCTCTTCAGGGGGCAGTAGGATATGGGCTTTGTGGTGCCAAGTGACCTCCCAGCCTCCTTGGGGGATTCAAGGAGGAAATGAGGCTCCAGTGCCATGAGGACAATGTGATTTATCATAGACCTCAATGGCAGAGACATCAGCCATAGCCAAGGGGACAAAGACCTCGGTTCTGTTGGAGACTTCCAGTGTTGCCAGCACCCTCAGCCATCTCCACTGCAGGCTGCCCTACACTGTCCCACACCTGTGCCTGTTTCCCTGCAGGCTGTAGACATCCCACCCATTTCCCCACCTGATTCCCATCCCAGCATGTCCTTTCTTTCATTATTTCTCTCCATCCTCACTAGCTGTTCCTTGAAATACAAAGCTATGGGCTGATCACAGATTCCCTCTCAGTCACTTGTAGCAGCACAACATTACCTCTTGAATGACATTTCTTCCTCGTCCTGTCCAGTCTTGATGTCCAAAGCTGCAGTTTCTGATGGTTTTCCTTCCTCATACTCTTTACCACTGCCAGAAAAACATGAAATCATCTATGTAAGCAATGTTGAAGCTTCCTCAAGCGACTCCTACGCTACTCTGAGCCTCTGCTTCTATAGGCCAAAGAATCCCAGGTCTCTCAGCCTTTCCAAACATGGCCCCCAACTCCATCTTGGCAGATCTCCTCTGGACCCTCTCCAATTTCTCCCCACTCCTCCTGAATGGGGAGCTGCACACCAGGATGCACTATTGCAGAAGTGGCCACAGCAGTGCCAAGTCAAGAGAAATGATAACTCCCCTTGTTTGTGTGGCCATGGTCGTCCCAGTACAGCCCAACAGGCACACGGCCATATCCACATTTAGCACCACTAATGCATGTAGCATCTCTCGTAATGCTCATTGAGGTATGGTCCTTGAGGTTTCTCCTCAACCACTCAGGTCTGGGCCTGCCCTTTATGGTTTTTTTTTCTGCCCCCTGGTAAAGAACATCAGAAGGTCCCTTCTCCTTGGAAAACATCCAGAGGTTTCTATTGATAAAATCTATTTCTCAAGGTATGCTTGGACTGAGAACAGGTCACAGTGACATGGACCCAGGGAGAAGACATTCTACATTACCATGCCTGTCCCCTCCCATCAATCTACATGATCTACAGGGACACAGCCTCTGATAGGAGGTTCAGAGATGATGATATGAGGGGCCCTGGGGAGACAGGAGAGGTCTTTGTGTTTCCTGTGCAGTACAGAAAAGGGAATGTGGTTTCCTGTCCCCACCCAGGCCAGCAGCAGTGAATGTATTCAACTCCTCCGTGTATGAAGTACCTGCAACTGCAAAGCTCACAGAAGGCTGCAAATCTGCCTGGAGTTGCAAGGAAGTCTGAGCCTTCAGTGCTGGAAGGGCAGGTGTTTCTTTGCTGACTCAAAGAGAGGAAGATCTGAGCCCTTCTCAGCCTCACAATTTTACTTTTCTACTTCATGGTGCACCATGCAAATTCCTCTGGGGAAACCTGCAATGATCCTCTGGATGCTGGTCATCACCTTTGCTGCAGCACTTAAAGGTAAGAACCCCCCCATGTATCCATGCCCGGCCTGTTGTCCCCACTGTCTGTGCAGTGGGGTGTGGGTCTGGGCATAGCTGCTGAAGAGAGCAGGAGGACTGGGAAGGGCTGGGGACCCCATGTTCTCCTTCTGCTAAGCTTCTGGATTCATATTTAAAGATAGGGCATGTAAACCAGCAGTTAATCAGATTCTCATGGATATCCTGCCTCAGCAGTCCTTTGGGCAGCAGTACAAAGAAATAGGGATCTGTGGTGACTGGGAAAGCCACTGCCTCCAGGGATAACTCCTGGAACTAAAGGCCAAAATCCTGGTTTTGTGCACCCTGCAGCTCCAGGACTACTGCACTCATGAGCTTTCTCACAGACACTCAAATTTCTCAACTGCCCTGTGTCTTTCCAGGTACCTTTTCCCCCATAAAGATGGTGGCATCTGGTCTGAAGGAGGGGAAGGTTTCTGGATCACTCTCACTCACCTGTACTATAACGGGAGCACCGCTGTATACCCCTCGATATGACTGGAATTGTATCCGTCAGGGCCCAGGTGGAGAGCTGCAATTTCTAGGCTGGATCTATCCTTTTGGGAATAACACAGGCCATGCACCATCTTTCCAAGACCGAATCATCATCTCTGCAGATAAAGACAAAAACAAGGTCTCCTTGCAGCTTCATGGCCTTACAGTTTTAGACACAGCCACCTATTTCTGTGCCAGGCAGCACACAGTTACATCACTGGAGGGAGAGGCAGCACAAAAAGCGGGAGGACTGCTGTGGTGACAGGGCCCTTTCTCAAAACGGTAGTTGCCTGCACCCATTTTGGGAAATATCAGCGAGGTTTGAGATTAATAGATATTGGAACCCCCAATCTATCTGTGGTTAACTGAATTTGCAGTAAAATTTGACATTTATAATGGAAGTTAGAAATAAAATTTCATATGTAAGTCCCACAGGAGCACAGATTTTTCACCTCCGTTCACAGACTGCCCCACACACGACCATCAGCACCTCTTCCTCACCACCACCCTGGTGCTCCTTCGATCCCAGGAGAACGGGGACAGAGGGACCACCTCAGGGCATCTCTCTGGGCAGGGATGCTGTGAAGCCAGTGTAAGGGCCACAGGAGAGCACATGGCTCCTTCTCTGAGCAGCCCAAATCTGCCCCAAGCTGCCTGTCCAATCTTTATTAATTAGATTTACTTTCAGGAATTCCAGGCTCCTGAGATCAGTGGGGAAGTTCAGACCAAGGAAGACCAAGGTCCTCAGCTGATGAGGATCAGGTTAAAAGAACATCTAAACAAACTGGACGCACACAACTGTTTCTGACCTGACGCGATGGCACCCAGAAATGCGGAGGGAGCTGAGCAATGTCATGTGAGGCCACTC